CTCTTTCCCAGGTTGGTCATATGCATTTTTGTCAGGAATGCTTTAGCCAATAAGAGGTACCGATGTTACGATCCTCTCACAGATAAGATAGTTATCTCCTGCCATTTGATTTTTTATGAACATCATTTTCTCTATAAAAGTGATGTTGCTGCCCAACCTTCACAACCACAAAAAGTTCCCCCTCACATCCCACCACTTTTATTGACCCCTGTGACCCATGCCCCTTCTCATACAACCATTTGTATACTTATTAGTACTCATGATTCAACCCTTACATCAACCGCTTCTCATGTATCCACTTTAAACCATCCGCATATGAATGAGTCGCTTGCAAATATTCAACAACCAAGTTCCATGCTTGATTCCCCATCTCCAAGATCTGTCTCAAATTCTACTCATCCTATGCTCACTAAATCTAAGACAGGTGCCCTCAAACCTATCCAAAAACTTGATCTAATACATATTATTGCTTCGATGTCAGATCCCAAATGTTATACACAAGCCGTCAAACATATTCAATAGAGAGAAGATATGACCGAAGAATTTCAAGCCCTTCAACAACAAGGAACTAGGTTATTTGTTCCTCCTCCAGATCAACCCATTATAGAGTCTAAACGGACATTACCATTAAGGGTCTATTTGGGGTAGCTGCAGCTTATTAATAAGCTGCTATGCAGAAACTGTGGCAGGAAACTGCTGCGGATAAGTTGGTTGTCTGTTTGTTTTTTTTTGCAGTTTTAAAACAGTTGTGATGCGGTTGTTTTTGAACAAATGATCATTTTGCTCTTGTATTGTTATGTTGTTTGCAACATAACTATTCATATCAATACATTTCATGCTTGAAAGCAAATATTCAGTGTTGAACATTACAAAATAAAGATAGACACCTCGCTAAACAATGAGTAGCATGATTACCAAAACTAAAAAATGATTATTAAAATAAAAATTAAAAATATAATAACATTATTTTTAAAATGCAGACGGTGTAAGTCACGAGATAAGCCGTCCTCCAGGAATACTCTCCATACCCGATCACTCTCGGCGGTAGAATCTTCCAGCATATCTGTTCACCTAAAATAGTCATAGTATTATGTGATTCTCCGTGAGTACCTGTAAAATTGTCTCTCATGGCTATGTAATCGCTACAAAGTAAGCAGGGAACATTGTAGTCCACAGTAACAGTGCAATCCTTTGGAAATATTGAAAATTCTGAAGCTCATCTTTTCTGAAGGCTTAAAAATACGTATCATTGGATATAACACTAGTAAAAATTAATAAAAAAAGTAATTAATTGAAGTTTTATGCAATTGTGAGGTCTCATAGAACAAAATATAAACCAACAAATCTGTCATTATAAAAAGACAACAAATCTTATAAAAAAGAGTTTTTAGTTGTTTTAAACCATGTAATATCAAACTCGTGTGTGTTAGATCTGCATATCAACAAGAAAAACTATCCAGAAGAACCCCAAAAATCATTGTACTGAAAAAGGAGTAGAACTTGATTGTTTTCATTAGGATTTCACATATGACACCAACCGATGACAACATACAGGTCATCCAGAAGAACTAATAAAGTCAAACATTTCATCATAGACCTCCAAAACCCACCCAAAAAAGACATGCAATATTTATGATATGCATACACAATTGCCTTATCAGCAATCTGAGTGAGAAAAAAAAACATGCAAAAAGAAAAGAAGTACATATTGCTTAAATAAAAAACTGATATAATAAATATTAAATGCATAAGAAATATAAATATACATGACTTGTATAAAATACAGATACAATAAATAGTGAATTTTTTTCACAACCATTACAATAAATAGAAATATAAACTAATGTTCCCTCTGATCACCTTACAACTATATCGTCCATCATTCATTCCCTCAACCCCGACATCTCACTTACACCTTTTCACATCTTGATTGTGCCCTCGGGCACTTCATTTTCGGTCTGTGACAAAGACTGTCAAATACGATATTCGTACGCCTCAATATGGACA